CTGTCTAAATTGTTACATCCCAAATCTGTTGCCTTTGGCTCAACTTATACATGATTATGCATTTCTAATTCTAGTTTGTTTCTGAATGTTACTCTGTAGATAATTTAGTGTCTTAGACCACCAAACACCGATGTTGTAATTGATCATTGAACTTAGAGGTTATTTGATTTGGACCCTAGTTCTATGTGTATTATAAAAATTGCAGAGATTGTTTATGTAGTGAATAATATTTTTTTTTTGAATCATACCGTGATTAATAATGAAGGAATTGTAAGCAGTAACTATAATGAAGGGATTGTTATGCAAGGATTACTTACTTAAAGGACATTTTTGTATTTGGATAATTTAATCCTTGTACTGTTAATATCATATTCTTGTTCCATATTTTATCCTGCATAAATTAATGCGTAAATTCTTGTGTAACTTAATGCATATATTATTTATTACCACCAACAAAACACTGCATTAGTTATGCAGAGATTTTTTTTTTTTATGTGGCCAACCAAATTCTCATTAGTTACACTGGGTTTTATGTTGAGATAAATTATACTGATACGATCAACCAAACAACCTCTTAGAGTCTTGGACCAATAAATACCTGACATTGTTGTTGATGAGTGATTCTTTCGTATCGTTTTAGTAAGAGACATATTATGGCTTCCCTTTTTTCTTTTGGACAGCATATCATGGCTTCTTTATTTGTTTTGTATGTGGTCACTCTACCCCAAAACTGCCCACTCAGGAGCCAACTGTTGTCCTTCCTCACTTTGTTCCCTTGGTTACTCAAACAACTAATCTTGTATATGGAGGTAGAGGGTCTTTACCACTTGGTTATCCATCCCTTGTTATTGGTTCTTTTGTTGCTGCAGTAGGTCGTGGACTGGTAAGTATTAATTTAGCTATTCGGTTTTTATCTGGTATTATTGACATGCTTGATATATAGGTTGTTTGGATTCACAATTATCACTTCATCCACGTAATTGGCTTATGCAATTAGTTACGAAGATTCATGATACTATTGCTCTCATTCAGGTGAAATTTCGAATTTTTAAGGAATGTCTTCCCCTGCCAGAAGCCTCTTTCAGACACGCTATAAAGGGCAATTATCGTGACAGAAAGTTTGAACCCGAATTAAAAGATCATCAAGTAAGTGATTTCTTTCTTAGAGATGGAGTGCCGATATATTTAGCATTAGTTGGTGTCTTGCAAATGCTTTAAAGCTTGCTGTTCATTAAGGGACTTCAAAAATATACAGGTGAGGAATTTATTATCTTTATTTCATCCCCTACCTGCATCAGTAACAGCAACAGCGGTGCCCCATCCACTGGAAAAAGTGGGCCAGTCTTTTGCTAATGTTGACATGCCAAAGATTACACCCGCTTGGGCTATGGAAGACCGGGTTAAGTTGATGTCCTGTCCCCAGGCAAAAGTGGGTTCATCATTGGCCAATGTTCCACCACCAAATACAATTCCTGCTTTGTATATGGAACATCATGCTAAGTGTTCCTCGATGCCCACTTCTGTGGAGAATCCATATATGACCAGAATGCAGCACGTTCATCCTCCACCCATTGTGGAATCTCAACGAGTCTATGAACTCCAAAGTGCTCAGCATGGATGGCCTAGAACCACGAGCTTCATGGAGAGTGCTCTTACAGTTAACAGTTGACTGCTCCCAGGCATGCATATTCTCATCAACCATATGTCACTCAAGGCATTTCAACTGATATACGGAATCCATATCACAGGTTTTGTGTCCTTTGCCTTCTTTCTTTTCTTTATTCTCTTCCCTTCAGTTCTTTAAGCTGTGATATAAATATAAAACAAATGAACAAAAGTAATACATATTCTTAAAAAGTAACCAAAATAGTATAAACACTATCATGAGTAACGTTTTATCTATTATTTTATTCATAAAAATTAATGGATAAAAAACAGGGAAACCAACTACCGTTAGCATAAATCGTTACTGTTGATAACGTAACATGAAAAACTACACTTTTTGAAAAAGAGATGACAGTTGTACTTGTAATATTTAGTTCACAATATTTTTTAAATAGTGTTAATTAAATATTTTAAATATTTTATTTAAAATAAATTTTATATATATATTTGTGTGGTAATAAATCATTTCAATAATTGTAAAAATAATTATTTGATAAATCTTTTATTAATATTGATAAATTTTAAGTGGTGTTGATTAAATAATTTAAATTTTTTTATCCAAAATATCTCTATATTTATGAATTAAGATAAAGGTAAAAACAAACAACTAACTATACCTTGATTTATTTTTTTAAATGACAACTATTTTGAACCAATTATTTTTCACAAAGACAACAAGTAAAGTGATTGGAATAAAATACAGTGTAATTTTTATTATTTTAAACAATCAAGTCAGTATAATTAAAATCTTAGTAATTAGGTCAAATCTAAAACTACAAAATTTACCTTGAATTAATTTTTTATTTACACCATTTTAAACATAGAGAAACTGATAATATTTTCACAATCCTAACATATGCCAACAAGCATAAACATCGAAGAATTGATATTATTCATATCCATGCTAAAAGTAAACGAATAAAGAAAAAGGATAAATTTAATTAAAAAGGAAAAATTAGAATGCAAGCAACTGACATAAGTTGAAGCAAATTCGTTACTGCTACTAACGTTTTATGTTAACGTCCGTTCTTTTTACACTTTCTGTCCGTCAATTTTTTATGAATAAAATAATAGGTAAAACGTTACTGATGGTAGCGTTTATACTATTTTGGTTATTTCTTTAAAATGTGTATTACTTTTGTTCATCTGTTTTATATTTGTATTACTTTGGTGAAAACTTCGATTTTCAATTGCTTGTTTAACATTAGGATAGTAATACTTCCTGCTGTTAGCAATTGGGTGTATATTTGCTATTCAGCAATGATGTTCTTTCTCTTTTCAAATTATCTTCTTGTTTTTGACATCTTTCTGGCTTTAGTTAAAGAAACTTTCTACCATGTATTAAGTTGACGTTAGAGTACTATTAGCCCATGTTTGAGAGTTTGTCTCAAGTATTCAAGAAGTAAGTGGTAGCAGCAGTGTGTGGTGCTATGATATATCACACTTGACAAACTAGAAACTGGAAGCCGTTTAGAGGTGTAAATGTAAATATCAGTTTGTTAGTGGCACAGATAAAGAAAGAAGTCATATAGAGAATAGAGTTTCTGCAGGGATCTAGGAAAGCTCATAAATGCAGATTACTGATTCAAAGGTTACGTATCTAGTTTTTTGTCTTCAGTCGGATGCCTACTTAATCATATTACCCCTTCCTGAAAGGTGGATATGATGTTAGGTGCTCTTTAGGTGTATTATTATTGTTTGTCTATAGTAATATTTCATAGTTATTACCAAAAACAAAAACAAAAACAAATTGCTCCCCTGTTTCTAGTTTTTTAGTGTATCAGTCCATTTTCAAACTTAATAAATATAGAAGGGTGATCTTAAATTGTCCCATTGGCAGGTATGGATCAATGCAAAGTGGGGTCGTGTCGCAGCCACATCTCATGGTGCTAAATGACAGGAATTACCAATTGTACTCGGGAGTAGAGCGAGGAATGCTGCCACCTCACGAGAGTAGTGCTACACACAACTACTTCTTTGGCCCTTCAGCTCCTTATGCTCCTCCTGTTCTGAAGCAATATGCTTCATCAGAAGCTGTAATACTGGAAGGGACTTCTTCCATGTCATACCAGCGTTCCCTTATAAGGCGTTATGGGTAGAGTTTTGATGATTAGGTTGTTATCGGAATGATATGCATGTGTAAGAATATCACCAATAGTCTCAACTTTCTTTCTGAAGACATCTGTTGTGCCCTGGAGGCAAAATGTAGATTACTTTTAAGAAGCTAGCCCTCTCTGTCTAAAAACTAATATTATCAGTTGTGTGGCTAATAGTGGTAAACTTAGAATTTGCTTTATTGTGATTTGAGGTTGGTATTTTGTTTCTGCTCCTCTGTCTGTCTGGTAATACGAATCTCTAGTGGTTGACCTCTTGCCTGCCAACACAAAGTATTAGAATATGTGGCTATGCTAGTCTGTTAAACATAAATAAGAAAGACAATGATATGTGCAGATTAGATTGCGCAAGTGGGTGGCATTAGTTCAATCAATTAAAAAGTCTGAGCAGTGATTGATATAATTATCATTGTATCATTACATGGGGTCAGAAGATGCTAGTTAAGATTTTTCTTTTTCAATTATAATACTTGTATGAACATGTACATATTAGAGTAAATTTATGTACACCTGTAACGTACCTAACACAAAATAACATAGGAGTTACTAGTTGTATTCCGCAGTTTTAGGCTTTTAACTTTTTCCTAAGGATTTTTTCTCCCAACTTTATTTAAAGAGTCTTCCACAAGTTAAAGCATGGTTTTACATTGCTATTGTAAAAATCAATTGACATGAACCTAAGTTGAACTTGTTGAGTGTTTATGTCTGGTTTAAATGTAATAGTCAATTGGGACTGTTTTCGTTCGAGAAACTCGTAGTCCATTCTTTGACTTGGTGGGCAGCCTCTTGAGTGTGCGGTGGCTATGTTGTGTATAGTCAGGGCTGGCTTTCGCTTTACAATATTGATATTGACAAATGATTGCGTATAGCAAAATGAGCATAACTTTAGTGAATTTAACAAGATTTTCATTTTAACTCCCAAAAAATATTCATTTAACACATAACATAATTGAAAACATTCATTTCTTTAATTCAATTAGTAAGACATCATTTTCAAGAATCTAACTAAGCTTGAAATAAAACCATTGATAATGATAAGCTTAATAACTATAGAAAAGAATCTTATTCTTTGATAATAGATTCGAATTCTTAACGTAGAGATAATTTCAATATATAAACGCGCTTTTATTTTATTACAACTTTTGGACTGACACAGCTAGTGTGGGTCCCGCTCCCTTCTTCCCTTTCTCTCTCTGCCTCTCTGTTCAAAAGTTCCCATTACATTATACAGTAAAGTTCAATTTATTAACCAAAGTTTCTGCGCGCACAGATATTTAGATTTGTAGCTTCCTGAAATTGTAGCAATCGGCGGCAGTAGCAGCCATGGGAAATTGCTGCTCCGACGAGAACGGTGGACATTCGGCGGTCGGCGGTAACGGTGCTTACGCGGCGAATCAAAACAACGGTCATAACGAAGCCGTCGACGCTCTTTTCAAGTCTCGCGGTTACCAAGGCCTCTACTCGCACGTCGAGGTTCTTTACTGTCTCTGTTTTTCTCAATTTTACTCTCATACAGGTGTAGGTGTATATGTATCACCAGATGACTAGTTTCTATTAATGAATGCGGATTTGTTCTATCCTGCTGATTAGAATTTAATTGGATCGGTTTTGGTTGAGTGTTATCTATAGTGATAAAATTCGTCTTAGATGAGCAAATGTAGCTGGATTTTGACTTTTTATTAGATTGGACTAGAAGTTTACTTGGCTTGACCGAAAGAAGATAATTTGAAAGCTGCTGTATTATTCCTTTCTGAATTGACAGCCTGAGTAGATATGTCCTCCAAATTTTCCCGTGATTTCGTTAGAGTTTATTTGGATCATTGTGGTTGATTAAGATCTTTGATGGAGAATTCGTGTTAGGTGAGGATGTAGTGCAATTTCTTGACATCTATCAGATTGGACTGCAAATTGAATTGGCATTGACTGTGGGCAGAAGATTCCAGGAAGTGCCTTATTACGTGATTGCCGAACCATCAGCTTGATGAGATGTCTCCCTTCACATTTTTGCTGGGACAAAGAAGTTGATATAGACACCTTAGATCAAAATTTTGTGACCAGGAACTAGTGCTGACTAGTTGACTGTTGTATATCTATGCTAAGGGATGGGATGCTTGTCCATAACAAAGAAACAATGTATTATGCTACTAAACTGAAGTATTTGGGGTTGGAGAGGATACTGTAGGTGTATCACAGCAAAGATTTTAAAGTGAATTGTTCACTTCCAAGTTGACGAGAATTGAATGTGGGGGTGGGTGCAAACATTGGGCGTGGAAGGAAGAATAGAGAGCATACAGTCACTTGATCAGAAAATTTGCTCATGTATTTGCATAGTTTTGAATGGATATATTGAGGAAGTATGGATGTATTGAGGATTGATACAGCCGATTCCAACTAATTTGCCTACCTACTTTTGCATGTGATATGATGTTTGATATGACTATATCTCTTCTTGCCTATTTCATGTTTTGTCATCCACTGTTCTTACAGGATTTACGAGAATGTAATGCAAAGAATATAGTGTGTACCTTATCCATGTTTGAATCTCTCGATAAGTGAAGAGAAGGAAAACCATAGAAAGAATTAGGGGAATGTACCAAAGTTTAAGAATTTTACATCCATTTAACCATAGAATGTTATTTAACTATTTTTGGTCAACAAAAATTTACCAATGATATACAACAGTCAAAAACTTAAGAAAGAAAGATATTCTTAATGAGTATGATTGAAATTTGTTGAGAACACATAGACGAGGCAATATACAAAATTTGAGGAAGATTGGAGGTGTTTTGAACTGGTTTGGAGTCATCATTCGTAGTTGAAAAGTTTTTTTGCGACGCATGTATCTCACAGACATGTAAACATGGATATACACATACATGGATACACATGGGGTATGAGATACACAAGCGATACACAGTGATACACAGTTATACATGCAAAGACTTAGTCTTCTTCCTTCGAACCATAGCTCAAATTTCAATTCAAACCACCTGAAATCTCTACCAAATCATCCCAAAATTGTTATTCAAGCTCCTTAACATGTACCCAGTCTATACCAACAACACCAACTCGAAATAAATTCCAATTTCAAAAACCTGAATTTTCAAACTCAAGCGTAAGAGAGTGTCAGTGGAGTTTTAGCTCATCTTCGTCACTTTCCAAGCAACCAAACAATATTCTATACATGAAATTAACTCCAAAAGATGTACCCCATCTATTCCAACAATACCCACTAGAAACAAAATCTAATTTTGGAAAATCGTTTCATGCTAAACTTAGTCCCTGTAGAAATGTCTAGGTGTATCATTTGATTTGAAAACGACTAATAAGATAAAGGTTGAGTTATATTGTATTTAAATAAAGTAAGTTTGATGGTGGAGATGAGATTTATTATGTCTAATAAATTGAATATTGGTTAGAATAGAAAAAACTAGTGATAGCATAAAGAAGAAAAACACAGCGGAGTAGAAAACGAAGAGAAGCACTAAGTAGAGACGGAATCGTCAGCCAATTTGTAATAAAACAAGGATTTAAGGCTAGTTAACAAAGAAAAGGATGTAAGGCTACTTTTGGTAGTTTTTTTGCTCCAAGCTGCCAAATTATGCAATTTTCTCGAAAATATACGCGGGAGAAGTCAGAAGAGGAAATGTTAGTTGACCTTAGTGCATCTCAAGAAGGAGCTAGAGATAGAATGATGCAGCTTAATAAGGCACTCAGTCTATGTATGTGATTAATGTTCAATATGAACGTGATCTATACTTTAATCAACAGGATTGAGATTCAAGCTCCTGGAAAGGTACTTTTACTTCGACACTTTCCCAATCATCGAGACCTAAATCGATCAAGTTTGATTGCATAGCTAAGTTGCTTGGACTCTTCACTTTTGCTGTTTCACCCATATCAACATAACATGGGTGTGTGATCCATCCCTGATTTGGTTAATCGATTTTGGATACTTTGACTAAAATTGTAGGAAAAATTCGGGACAAGATACAATGGTTTCTGGAATCAAAACAAATTTTAAGGTGAAATTGAAGAAAATGGAGTACCTTGTATATATAAATTTCTATATCAGTCCTCCTTGTATCACTTTTTGGGATTCTCCTCTTGATCAATATTTTCTCCTTGGAATACCTTGTATGTTTTCCACATTATGTCTCATAATTTAGACATATAACTCAATTTTTATATATTTGAATTATTTTTAGCCGAATCCCCGCACTTGGATTCGCAGTTTCGCACACCCAAATCTTAAAATCTAGACCATGAAGGATCGGACCTCTAGATTCACACCTTTATCGGACAAACGCACCCGAGTCTGACCAATTTAGCTTCAGATTAAAGCTGACCTATTTTTTTTTGAGAAAGTTAACTGGGAAGCTGACCTATTTAGTTTTGGTTCTTAAATTAAGATGTAGATATTACCTCAAAGGTGCTATGACCTAAAAATGCAGTCATTTTAAAACATTTACCTTATGCTACAAAACATAATTGCCTTCTATAAACTAAAAGGTCACCTATTTTAGGTATGAGAATACTTATTCGTTAAATCCAAAAAGATTAGACTGCTAACTAAATGTGTTTCTAAGCAGTTATCGTGCTGTTGCTTGATCAATTTGGTAGTTGGATATATTTTGTATCCTTTTACAGTTTTCTAGCGATGGTCCAATGGGATGACAGGGCAAATATAAATTTGAAGGTTGCCAAGTTGCATAAAAGTAATTGACCTACTGTTAGTTTAATAATCTTTTACAATGTGCTGAAAAGGAAGATAAAAGTATCAGGCGTTTCAAATTGATGATTAGATCTCTAACTTTTGGTTTCCTATAGCGTAAATATCCCAATGCTGTTACTTTGACGTAAGCTATATCAGATTGTGTGAGGTTCTTATTAATCATTTTTCTGCTTGAAATCATTTTGCAAGCCCATCACTATTTACAAGCTATTTATCCATTCTAGTTCTTGGCTAGGAGCCTATGACAAAACTAAACATCGGCGATTAACTGTGGATATCGAAATCTTCCTTTTACAGTTGTTTTTCGTCTTAACTATTCTATTTACTTGCAGTTATCTCTATCTGCTACTGGTTTGCGTGATCGCGATGTGCTTTCCAAGGTTTGTTCCTTATTCTTTAGAGTTTGGTAATGTGAATGAAAAATACTGACTTTCATGTGATTTGATTCATGGTAATACTGCTTCAATATTATTTGTTGTTATCAATATACAATTTCTGTAACTTCATTTCCATAGTTGGAGCAAAGCATTGAATGTTTACACTCAGAATGTTTTTCATTTCATTAGGCCAATCATTTTAAGGATCAAGTTTCGTGTTAATGCTTAAGGTTAGACCCAGAAGACTGGTCATGTATTTTCCATAGGATATCCTCCAAAGCTAGCTTCTAGAGACAAACTAGTGTAGTGAAAGGTTGATGAAACTATACTTCCAGAACTGTGTATCAATCATCTAGGTTGTTGTTCATGTGATACGAATAGTAGTTGTTGCTCCTTTCTATTATCTGATATCTTCCATTTATTTCTATATTAGCTTTAGAAATATGGTTTGTATTATCAGGCTCACTCCAGAGTTTGCGATAGAAAGTAATTGTCTGTTGTTGTAACTTCTATAGCAGATATCACAAGTTCTTTTAAGAAATTTCCCTCTTTGAACTGGCATTTTAGAGACTTACTGACTTCTGTATGGTTTATGGTTTATGCATGCATTACTATGATGTTGAATAATGTTGAATCCACCTAACTAAGAAGTATACTATTTCATTACACCGAATAATTAAATGATGCACTTTGTGTATTTTTCTTCTAAAACTCTTAGGAGTGTATTTATTTTGTATGTTAGTAGTTGCATGCCCGCCCTTTCTGTTTCTTTCTTTTCTTACTTGAATGGCTCTGTTGTTACTTTACAATACATTTTATTTGCTAGCATTATTGTCTTGGCCTAAAAATGTGTTTGACTTTACCAAGTTATCATGCTCTGTTCTGAATCTCTCATTGTTTACAGAGCGATCCTATGGTAGTCATTTATTCAAAAGGAAGAGATGGTTCATTGCAAGAGCTTGGTCGTACTGAAGTAGTTCCAAACTCATTGAATCCCAAGTGGATTACAAAGTATACTATTGCCTATCATTTTGAGACAGTGCAGAATTTGGTGTGAGTCTTGACACTTCAGAATCGGATGTTTCTGTCAATTAGATACCTCTTTTCAGTCTTACAAGATTCTTTTTATCTCAGGTTTCGTGTCTGTGATGTTGACACTCAATTTCATAATCAAGATGTCAAGGTATATATGTGTGTCCTCTTCTAAAGGATTTCTAAGGTCAAAGTTACCCTAAGCAAAAGTTGATGTTTATCAAACTATCCCAACAGTACGAACAAAAAGTAACCTTCTGCACCATCGGCAATACATTTTTGACTGAAGTCTAAAAAACATGCTTCTCTTTGTTTTGTTATTCTTTTTTTTACGGTTCAATGAAATGAAATCGAAAAACTTATGAAAGTCTCATAATTTACATTTAAATCATTATCTATATAAATAATACTAATTATAAAGTGATTTTTTACATGTTCTCTTTCAAAATTTGACTTTACTTTAGCCAATCATAAGCTGCTATCATTCGAAAGTACCTTTTTGGTGAAACTCCATTTGACAAAAAATACTTCATAAAATAAGCAGATTATGAAAGTTGGCCAAGTTTGCTCTTTTTCAAGAGCGTGAGGTTTTCTAGATAATATTTTAAATATAACTTCAAGTTCATGGAGTTACTTTGTTTGGTATAACTTATCCACCCTGTAGACTACTTCTGTAGCATCCCAGGCACTATGGTCTGGGATATTGACCAATCTTCTTGTATGAAAAAATATGTTCTTCTTGAGACTTACTAGTATTTAGTTTCAATATCTTGCGTATGGTAGTTTATATGATCCTTGTATTCTATGACACCTAATATTAGCCATGAGCTTCTCCTAAGTCACCTGAGCTTGCTGTATAGCAGTAATAAGATAAACATATAAAGCGAAGCGTTTCTATTTCCATTTTCTTCACTCTGCTACATTGTCATCTGTACAGGTTGCTGGACAATAAATTTCATATCTTACTTGATGAGTACATGTCATGTGCTTTGCAGTTCATTTATCTGTTCCATCATTTACTGTCTATGGGCAAATGAATAAACCATTTTACTTTTCAAGCAATATTAGAGGATACAAACATATATAATCATGGCTCATGACTAATATGTCAAAGTCTGCATAACTTATGCAGATGCTTAAACTGGAGGAGCAGGACTTTCTTGGTGAGGCTAGTTGCACATTATCTGAGGTGCTGATCACTGTCAATTCAATATTTTATTTTTTGAACTTATAATGTCAGCGTAGTTTCTTACTTATGGTGTAAGAGACATGACTTAATAGTGAGGCTGTAATTGGTATGTGAACTGAAGTGCTTAGAGACTACACATTTTGCATTTAAGGCTCTATACTTTGTGTAACTCGGTTATGCATATCTCACCACTGGTTTTCTTGTGTGTTGGTTGGTCATTAAAACATTGTGCATTTGCTTCACAATCATCCAATTGCTTGATTATTTCGAGAGGTTATTAATGTTACCAGCAAGATAATAGCCACATTTGATGCCTGCTTTAAAACTGCTTGATATATTTTTCCTGTTTAAGTTCTTGCGTGCAGTTTTTTTTATTCCAACTAATGATTTCAGAATCAATATAGTTATACGTATGAAGTTAACTTTTCCTTATTAATACTAGATTATTGAATTTCCTTGTAGATTGTATCAAAGTCAAATGGGTCCCTGACCTTAGACCTTATACGTGGAGAACAATCTTCTGGTCCAAAGCATGCCCAAAAGTCTGGTAAGCTTACTGTTTGTGCAGAAGAAAGTGTTGCATCAAAGACTACTGTAGAGTTGAAATTGAGATGTTCAGAGTTGGTGTCTAAGGATTTGTTCTCCAAAAGTGTAAGAACTCATCAGAGTAGTTTTATCTTTTGTCGTTCTGAATTGTGTGATGGATATAAGTTCAATATCTTATTGCTCGTGGCAGGATCCCTTTTTGGTGATATCTAAACATACAGAGAGTGGAATGGTGGTTCCAATTTGCAAAACAGAAGTTATAAAAGATGATCATAGTCCAAAGTGGAAACCGATTACCGTGAATATTCAACAAGTTGGAAGTAAGGTATAAAAGAAATGTTCCTCCATTTGCTTCCTAAAAGAATTTCTGAGACCCTCCCCCAAAATGTAGAATCTTGGAAGGGAGAAAACAGGGAACCCTGTGATACAGATACTGCAACAAGCTAGAGTGCCTCTTTCTATGGGACCATATGCTATTCCATGTGAATCAGATGTTGGTATGAGCAAGTGTGAAATTGTTAGAATGTTCAATAGAATTTTGAATTTGGTGCAAAAGAAATACTTTTCATGTAGTCATTAACCATATTTTCTGTGGATTGCTAACTCAATCATAGATATTTGAATTTGAAGTGTAGCTAGTTATCTTTTACTCATTGATTAGTTGAGGGATGCCTGTACAATATGCACTACTGAGTTTTGGCAGATCGTGTGCTCTCACTTAGAAGAATTTCCATGTATTTGCTCTTTAATCTGAAGGGGAGTCATGGAGCAATGGTAAAGTTGTCATCGTGTGACCTATAGGTCGGGTTCGAGCCGTGGAATCAGCCACTGATGCTCAGGGTAGGCTGCCTACATTACACATCTAGGGGTGTAGCCCTTCCCTGACCTTGCGTGAATGTGGGATGCTTAGTGCACCGGGCTGTACTTTCTTTTTTTTATGGCTCTTTAATCTAATATGATATTTCTGATTTTATCAGCTAGTTAAATAATTTTATCATCAGGATTCTTTAGAAGTGTTTCATGCATTAACCATTGCAGAATACAATCAAAGGTTTCTCATCTTATAGGAGTCATCTATAGCTTTGACTTGAGGGCCTGTATCTCTAATAATCATACTAAATTGGTGGGGATGTATCTGCTAAATAATAACCATTTTTTCGAGTATGTCGGGAAACTTTATTATGATATCAATAACTTTTGAACAAATGCAGGACAGTCCATTGACAATTGAGTGTTATGACTTCAATTCAAACGGAAAGCATGATTTAATTGGGTAAATGGTCTTTCTTTCATCTTTCTGTCATTTCTGACCTTTACAGACTGGAAACTGACTGTCTTTCTCCTATGCCAATTGTCAGCAAGGTTCAGAAATCACTAGCAGATTTAGAAGTGTTGCACTCGACTGGTTCGAGTGCAAATCTTTTCACATCAGCTGCTGTAGGACAAAATTCGCAAAACAGGGTAAAAATCTCTGTTGTCAGGAAAAGATGCTTCTCCTTTTAAACTTTCTGCTTTTGGTCATTGAGGTCACAATTTCACCAGGTCCTAAAGAGCCAGCTTTTTGTGGATAGCTTTTTCGAGAAAACGCAGCATACATTCCTCGATTACTTGGCATGGGGTTATGAACTTAACTTCATGGTGGCCATTGACTTTACTGGTACGTATTGGTCTGTGTATATGTTTTATATCAGGTTTGAGCAAAGTTGCTTATATTACTGTAGCTATGCATGGGCATATTGTGTTACCTTCACCAATCTTATATCACTATCTCTGATGCCTTTTCCATTTTTGGCATTGGGGGTGTTAGATTGAGCCACCTTAGGGGCTTGAAGTTCCTATTCTTGGAGTGCCCATTATTCTGTATACTCTGATTGTCTGTGTGACTGACTGTATCTGTATCATCCTAAATCTAGCTAATTTGTGGCACTTTACTCCACATCCACAGGAATTCTTTTGTATCATTACACGAAGAATTGCTTGGATTAACTGAAAGATGTAATAGTATGACAGAGTTTGATTTGCTCCTTCAAAATGATATGCATCTATAATGTTGATTCTATTATTTACACTTATATTTATTTGCTTCTCTAAGCTTTCTTCTGCTATGGACATTGGATATTTCTTTTTTCTTATTTTTCATCTCAGCATGCATTTGTTCTCTCACACGAGTTGTGTTTGTCAGCTTCTAATGGAAATCCACGCTTACCGGATTCATTGCATTATATCGATCCTTCAGGACGGCCAAATGATTATCAGAGAGTGAGAAACTGGTCTTGTACACAATGATCTTATATGTTTCCTTCATATGAATAACTTCATTAAATCGGAATTCAAATTTCAGGCCATCTTGGATGCTGGAGAGGTATTGCAGTTCTATGATAAAGACCGATGTTATCCTGCTTGGGGTTTTGGAGCGCGCCCAATTGATGGCCCTGTTTCTCATTGCTTCAATCTAAATGGCAGCAGTGACTACTGTGAGGTATGTCCAAATTTTGTTATATTTTAATGTTGTGAATTCCCTTGTTTCTGATTATCATCTTATTTTACTAATCAGTATTTTCTTATTCTAGGTGGAAGGAATCCAGGGTATCATGACGGCATACATGAGTGCCCTTTTTAATGTTTCACTTGCAGGACCAACTATATTTGGACCAGTTGTTACGTCAGCTGCAGATATAGCAAATCAATCCTTGATGAAGCGCGAGCGGAAGTACTTCATTTTGTTAATAATCACGGTACATCTTATTTCCTGATGGTCGTGGTTTTTAGGTCAAGTAAAATGTTAACCATGTTGTGCTAGCACGTTTGCTTTCCATTGATTAGAGTTTTAGCCAATCTCTTCTCCACGATCAGAATTTATTGGCTTGTTAAGTGGGAGTTTTTCTTTCTATTCAACGAATGAGTTAAGTTTGAACCTTGCTTGGTAGCATGTGCCTGAGTTCCTATCAAACCTTGCTCAATTAAGCTAGGGGCAAATGGCAGAGTACATGTAAATATTCCATTGGAATGCATAAAAGTGGTGGGGAAAACCTTTGACTTGAATTTCACTTGAAGTGAAGCCCCTCTATCTAATTTTGGTTGAAGCTGAATTTCACCATGCTTCTTTTGTGTGCAAATTTCATATGGTTATTTCGATATGCTGATTACATTATTACAAAATCCCAGGACGGAGTGATAACAGATCTCCAAGAAACAATGGATGCCCTTGTTCATGCTGCGGATTTGCCATTGTCAGTTCTTATTGTTGGGGTTGGAGGAGCTGATTTCAAGGAAATGGAGGTGTGTATTTTCTCTTTATCCAGAATGCAGTATTATCAACAGTAGTAAATCGTCTAATGGTGTAAAGACAATTCCCATATTGTATGTCCACAGATTTTAGATGCTGACAAACAGAGACTTGAATCAACGCGTGGACGTGTTGCAGTGCGTGACATAGTCCAATTTGTTCCCTTCCGGGATGTACAAAGTAGGTCATTTTAACACGTACCTAGAGCCTTCTCTTATTGAAGAGGAGGATAGATGCGAATGGGCTTAATTTCTCTGTATGTAACCTGATTCCGTTGCATTGATTTGTAGGTGGAGACTCGGTCCTTCAAGCTCTTTTAGCAGAATTACCTTCCCAGTTTTTGGAATACATGCGGCTCAAAAGGATCCAGCCAACTTAATGATCATACAAGAATTGTACATACAAATGTTGATTCGTGTATTGTGTCCTGTGAAAATCGCCATTTTCTAGCTTGTTCCTCAATGGTGTCAAAAGTTTTGTTTTTGGATGTCTCATTTCGTCTTCTCTTTCCTATTTCCCAGAAGCTTGTACTTAAATTATATTTCTTCATAATCATGTTCTTATTTATTTTGTTGATAAAAATTTCAAATGAAGCTTGTTACCTTTGTACTGATTGAGTAAATGTAATCTCGTCAGGATGAGAGGATGCTGCAAATACCTTCCTTTTGTGAGTATCTTCAAATTACATTGCTATTTAATTCCAAATAGTTAAGGAGCTTGCTGCTGTGTTTTGATCGTAAAGGTGGTTTTCTTAATTGGTGAAATAAAAAAAAATCTCACACGGCCGTGTATCAACTGTGAGAAGACAATATGAAATTGCAAGAGAAGCCAGCTTTTAGTCTGGTTTCTTCTAGTAACACTTGGCCAGTCTACTTTGTTAAGTCCAAGCTATGTAGAGTCTTTCCGTTCACACAATCAAATGTCCTATTTTAGCTTGTCTTATTCTCAAATATAATATCAAATAGCAAGACCATGCATTTCACTCTTTTTTGTTTATTCCCTCCTATAGGTTTATAACTGGATTCTTTGAAAGATACTCGTGAAAAACTTCCAAATTTGGCGTTCTTTTCACTTTTATCAATAGTCCCTTTCTATTTATTTATCAAATTTAGTAACAATCACTATGTCAACTGCAATGTAAGATAAAACTCAGACTTCCATAATTTGTTAGTCACTCATCTGTATCTTTGTTAAAATTTGATAAAATTACCAACTACACACACTCATGGTCATATGCTACAATCAAATTTTGAAGATTAGTTGAATTTCAATTATCAAGTTCTGCTCCACTGGGGTTGATTGTGACAATAATAGAACAAAAATCAATAAATTGGAAGTATTTCTGTTTGCTGACCAAGTCTTCCACCACTTCTTTTTTTTCTTCTTTTCTATTATCTAATTTTTCCCATATATGACTTCTTTCGCCTGATTAGACAAGTATTGACTTGACCTGTAACATCAATAATGAGCTATCATTGGTTAACAGTACTATACTCAATTTTCATTCTTTACCCTAAATTCAGAGCATCTCCCAATCCAAAAAGAAGAAAATGTATTGTTTTTGCTAGTGCTAGATATAGTTGAAATATCATGAGGATAAACATGTACCAAATACATTTCTAAAAGAGTGAGTGACAAAACATATCTAGAACTATCCATTTTTTAGTTTCACATCTAAATTATTCCGAGTTTGAGAAATACATTTAAACTATCACTAATAAGTTTGAGAAACACACCTAAAGTAATATGTGATGATGTGTGTATTACTCTCTTTTTCTAAAAAAAAGTAGTCACATAAATTGCCACATGGAAAACAATTCCACCATGGTAAAAAATGACGACAAATAACTAACACATGTAACAATCCCAACTGAAAATATAAATTGAAATACATAAGTTAACTCTTAAAAAATCCATTGAAAATATTTTTTTTTAAAATGAACAAAAATGTGTCAGCAAAAAGAAAAATGCCATATGGATAAAAAATTCAAGGCTAAATGCGCCTGAATGTGTGTATACACACATTTGGTCAGTATTATGCGTATAGGTAATAATTTAGGTGTGTGTTTCTCACGTTTTTAAAAGTCTATATATAAAATCGAAAAAAAAATAGTTTAAATATGTTTTTTATACTTAATTGACTCTTTCTAAAATAATCACATAAATTTCACTGTTTATTATATTACAGGTGGAGAAGGAGATACATAGAGAAAATTGTACATATATAATTTGCATACACGAAAATACCCCCTTCAAATACGCCCTCAAAGCACGCACGTGATACCAAATATGCTTTGGTCCGTCTTGACAAGTGAGAGTTTGTATCGGTCCGTCTAAATAAGGCTTGCTCAAATAGTTGAGTACCTTTATCATATCATTAACCAATAGATTGAAGGTTAAGTAAACATACTATTGATCCTCTATCATAGGTTTGAGAAAAAAACTATTGGTCGATCTGTCTCGACTTGATAGGTCTCAAAGATTTTGTCCACCAAAAGGGACCTAAAAAATGACATTTTTTTAATTACATTTCGTATATATACACTATGAGCTCTTGAGGATGACATCCATTTTCGAGTATAGTCGACTCCATTGAAAAATCATCAATTAACGACAAATAAATTAGTATGACCAAAAACAACAAATATTCTAATTATAACTTCCCCACTCAGTCTAGATATAGACTATCAGTTATAAACCCTAGCATTTCATTCTTCAGTTTCTTAGTTTTCTCTTCTTTCCGTAGTTAGTAATACACAAAGTTAATAAGTTTGTACATATGAATGAATCATATATATAGTGAAAGAATAAAAAAAATGGATCGAACTAGACATGGGAAGAGGCCCTATGAATCGGAGGAGAAAGAAGATACGAATAATAATCAAATGTATTCATCAGCTCGATCTCAACATGATATGTCTACTATGGTTTCTGTCCTCTCTCAAGTTATTGGCAACAAAAGTACGACCAACACAAATTCTTCTTCTTCCTCCTCCGCACATCATAAGCAATTATTAACCCTAAATCATCGGTCTAGTACTACTGCAGCTACGCAAAACCAATTACCTCAGCTCAATCAACAACAAGGTACTCATATATGTATATCTTCGATCATAATTCATAACCAACCAAATTTATTATCTAGGGTTTTATTTTCCTTAAGATTCGATGACTAATTTACACAACAAACGTATTTTAAACTGTTTTTATTTGTGTATTGTGTGAAGGGAATAATGAAAGGAGAAGAAGACAGTACAGAGGTGTGAGGCAAAGACCTTGGGGTAAATGGGCGGCCGAAATCCGTGACCCGGAAAAAGCTGCTCGAGTATGGTTGGGTACTTTTCACACTGCGGAAGATGCTGCAATTGCATATGATGAAGCTGCACTTAAGTTTAAAGGAAACAAAGCTAAACTCAACTTTCCAGAACGGGTTCAATCCGCAACTGATCAATTTGGGACATCATACCTAATTACTACTACTAATCAATTTCCAGCCAATAAATTTCTCCCAAATTTTGATCAATTACAACATCACTACGCTCCCGCAGGTGGAAGTAATCATAATGCTGATGATTTGAACTTTGGCGTCTCGCCGAGTTCTTATCACCCTACAGGTAGAGTACTGTAAATGATTTGAGTACGCAGTAGCAGAATTTTTTTTCCAGAAGTTGAAAGTTCCTTAGGTATTTGGCTAAACATAAATTGATGCTCAAAGTATTTTTCAAATTGATTAAGCAAACATAAAGTACTACTCTTCAAACGTACTTTTTTGAAACACAGGTTTTGTGTGTGTAACGGTCTTATCTAAAAATTTAAGTCATTAGAAACAACATACTTATATTTACTTAATTTTGTATTCATCTAACTCTAATGAATCCCTATTTACTTGTTTTTCACACACATATATATATAGCAGGGTTCAATCCTAAAGCACTGAATTTTGTGGAACCTTTGAAATCATCATCGATGACATATTTGGTACAACAAGCATCTCATGACGTACAACAAGAACCAACGTATATTAATCACCAGCAAGAAGATGAAAACAATCCGAGATTTTCATCTTATTTTGGCACTTGTTCAAGCTCAGCGCCTACTTTGGGGGAGTTTGAAGATCGAAAATAATTATTTTTTTCGACCAACATGAAGGTATACAATTTCTCGAGGATATATGCTATTTACGTACTATATATTAGTAATAAGTTTTTTGGTTCTAAAAGTGCCCTTTAATTTCTTTCGTTTGCCATGCAATTAGTTGAACAGGAACTATATAGTTATGTACTATGAAAATTAATATAGTGTGGTTAAATGTGCTCAACTCTTTGAGCTCTATAGGGTCACAGTTTGAGTATAAAGTGTTATCAGTTCGAAGAATATTGAAGGCTTTTTGCAAGTGTATATCACTTAATTAAACTTAATATTGCATAGTAATGTAATTGAATTTTATATATATACATTTTTAAATTAAGTCATTTACCTTCCGTTGTGATGGAGGTTTGACATTGACTCCTAACTTGTACTATAGCATAAGAAATATTTCCAAAGATGTATATACATTTGAACGTATAGTTGCCTAAAATATTAGAGTACGGTATATATCATCTCCATTATTCGTAACTAAAGCTTGATTCCTTGTGAACATATACACAATAGTACAATTTTATACTCCCCTATCCCAATTTATGTGACACGTTTTATTTTTCGAGATTCAAACAGTTTAAATTTGACCAAAAATTTGTGCATAAAATCTTCAATTTTTTTGAAATGAAATTTATATATGTGTAAACTACGTAAAAAGTACTATAAGTCACCATAATAGACAATCTAAAATATTTAAAAGAGATATGAAAAAAATTTACGATCAACGACAGACTTGTTGGAATCTCAAAATTTGAAACGTGTCACATAAATTGAGATGGATGGAGTATATTTATTGGCAGGAATTACAATCTTAGTATATAATGGTTCCGGCTCCTCTCCATTTCTCTTCTCTCCATTTTCCTCAAGTTCTAGCTTGGATTGGAGACATATGTCATAGTTTAGAATTAATGATTGAGATCTAATTGATTAAAGCAAAGTCCTGTATAGTTATTTACTTTCATATATTTGCTTCTTAAATATTTTTGCAATCCAACAATTCTAGATTTACATTATATTTGTCCTAAATATAATTAAAATAATTTCTTTTCTTAATTACTTGAGTAATTTTTTGCTGATATTTTACTTTTTTTCCCTAACGTTTTCCTTTTTCTCAAATAATATTTGCCAGATAAAAAAATTAAAAATTGTGACCTGACATTTTTTTTTTAATTTTAAGAGTAAAATAATTTTTTTCAACTTTAAATTCTTTCTTTTTCCCTAAATGGAGTCTATATTGCTCTATAGACATTATAGCTCTTAATACTCTATTAGAATATTAAAAACGTTTAACTGTATTATAATTTTTTTCAAAAAAAGTAAAAATATTTAGTAAAAGTTTTAAATATGTATGCAGGGCGGTAAAGATTTTAAAAAAATATATTTAGGAAAAATATAATGGATTGCAAAAATATTTAAGAAGCAAATATATGGAATTAAATAACTATGATTAGAACTTTACTTTAATCAATTAAATCTCAATCATTAATTCTAAACTATGACATATGTCTCCAATCCAAGCTAAAACTTGGGGAAAATGGAGAGGAGCTGGATTTGCCGTATATAATGTTCTCAAAATCATATGTATTTTATGGTCTAAAGATGGTATAAAATATAAATTATATTCTTGCTGAGTTTGGTCTTTGTGAGACACGTCATCAGCTTCTATAGATATTCTTGTTATGGAATCGAAGAAACGGGAGAGAAAATCGAAGAAAGAATAGATTCATTGCATTGATTTATTATATTGTTTCTTGCAATAGAAATAAAAGACTATATCACTATATATAGGGAACAAATGAGAATAAAATAAAGGAAAATATGTTATTTTCCTTATAGATATTAAATTAAAAGAAAGTAAATTGTATTATGTAATTAATGAAAATTCTAGACTCAGAAAGAAAAATAAATATTCCAAAATATTTCTAGATTAAAAATGAAAAAAAAAATTCTACTATTAACCATAAAGTAGAAGGAAAGTAAATTTTAACAATACTTATAAAGGATAAAAGCAGCAGTTCTTTCCTTTTTTAACAGCAATGCACGTAATATTTAGTTTTGCTTTAATTTGTCAACAAAATGTTCCATTTGCATTAGAGAAATAGATAAACTGACAAAACAAAATTGATGACAAAGACTTCAGGACATATATATATATATATATATATATATGGGAAAAATACTGATTATATACTTCTTTATTATACAACAAGCCATTTATTTAATACTTGCAGGTTTTTCTGAGAATATTTTGTAGGTAACTCAGTCTCTTTCGAAAACTCACTTTATTTCACAAAAATATACATGTTTCTGTTTATACGAATTTAAATTAAAATAAACTGATTTTTTGTCATAGAAATAAAAAGTTTTAGTCAAAGCTATTGGATTTTGTCAAACCTGTAAGTCCAGGGCCAAAGCTAGAACTTCAGCTATGAATTCAGTCGAACTCAATAATTCTGATTCAAATTCTGTATTTATCTTCCGAGTGAACCTATAAACTTTAAATCATAACTCCGTTTCTTCCGGTAACCTGAAGTACTCTAGCTTTGCTGCTCACGAGTATGGCGTGTGCTATTGCCTGCTTATTACAGTGATTTATACATTTGGATACTAAAATCTCCAAGTTCTGCATTCGCTATATATGAAAGGAAAAAAAGAGCAAATGTGAAAGGAATTATGCTAAATTCAGCTTTTATTGACGATGTCAAACATGCAAAATACAAACAAGTGATTCCGGGAGCGAGCTAGGTAGGGTCAAGGTCGAGTTTATTCAAACCTTTTTTTTAGTGAAAAAGTAGTATACGGTATGATTTAAATTATTTTTTATGTATATATATATTAGTGTTAAATTTTCTTTAGCTTCTTCGTGTGATTATATTTATATATATATATATATATATATATATATATATTTTGAATCTCTGAAAATTCAGATTCCTCTTCCCTGACTCAACTTGGAAGTTATATAGAGCCATCACGGGCCAAACACACGTACTTAAGATTAGGGTTGACCCTTTATGAATCGTTGACTGTCTCTTTCTTTTTGTTTCAAGTTGACTCTTTGAAAATTAAATTGAAGATATATTGTGTTTTTTTTCGCTTTGTGTGATTATACTGATTATGTTGTTATTATTACATATTTGTATTTCCGTATTTGGTAATGAACAAGATAAAAACTCACCCGATTGATGTTAAAGAAAGATCTCAGTGCATTTTTTTTTTTTGAGTAAATAACAAACGCACACTATATATGTTCGTTCACTCACGCATATTCATATTCATGTTATTGTATTGCGAATAAATAAATACTTTTAACATTCTTAAAACTAGCATTTTAAGGCCTTAAATTTCAGACCACATGTCTTGAGTCAAGTTTATCGAAAATAATCTCTACCTTTTCTCTCTCCAAACTCTACTTAAAAAAATTATACTTAATATGTTATTAATGTTATGGTGAATCCAAATCCCATGTATCGTCCTAAAGCTTGACAAAACTGTATGGGAAAACTAATAAAAGGGAAAATGTGATTAATGGAAGTGATGGGTCCACACGCCAAATATCTATCCAGTTCCTCACTAGTCAAACTTTCCGGTTTTTCCCTCAATCAGCCAAGTCAAACAAATGAACTTGCAAAGTCAAAGCCGGCCCCAACTTTTTGGAGTTTTTGAAAAGTTCAAAAGAATAAGTTTCAAAGTTTCTAATTCTTTTTTCTTTCTAACAAAAATATTTTTATACCAACACTTTTTTAAACAAAAGTGTTTTTTTTGGGCATTAGAATTCACGCTTGGAAAGTCCCGGAGGTAAAATGCTACCTAACAAAAATAGGAGACTCGAACCCAAGACCTTTACCTTACTTTTGTTGTATTATTACTCCCTCCGATTGGATTTTGACACACTAATTAAAAAGAGTTGTTTCATCACATTTATATAAAAGAATTATTTTACTAGAAACTCCTTTATTTCTCATTTATAGTTTATGCATTGGAAACTATAAAGAAGTGTCAAAGACCTTCTCAGAAGTTTATTCTAATGCACCTGTATTAGACAGAATTGACATCAGCCAGTACACGAAAACCACTACTCCCGTTCTACTTTGGTGAGAAGCTTTTATTGTCAAGCACATGCTATAACATGTTTGTCATATTTAAACATCATAAATTTCAGAATTTTATATTCATGCAACTATTATGACATTGAAGACCACAAATTTTAGTGGTTTTCCATTTTTTATTAGACATTGTCCAAGTCAAACTACAACAAACAAGGAAAAATGGAGGGAGTTATCGAAGTTCTAAAAGTTTATTCCTGTGGGAAGAAATTATACATGACAGCCAAATTACACACAATTTATTTCATTTTGTAAGACATAAGATATTGCATTCCGAACTTTCAATTTCACGACCCTCTTCCATCAAATCTGTGGTAACCGTACAAACGCATGAAACAATAATGAAGCGTGCTTCTAAGCAAAATGACAGAAAAGGCAGAGTGATGCAAACTGCACGAATGATTAATTTAAGTGCTTCTCTCCAACAGGCCAAAATTGAGGATTGAATATGTATGTAACATAGCAGGAGAACATCTGGTGGTAGAACGCAATTACCCTCTACTAAAAATACTCCTTACAAGAGCCCAGAATGTCTCTAGCTGCAATGCTGCAGGAACTTCAAAGAACTAATTTGGGCCCTCTGCTTTACTTTGGTAAAGAGATTCTAAGCATTCCTTCGCTCTATGAACTTTTGATTGTAGATAAAAACTTCCATTTTTAGCATTACTCTCAAACAAGTTGTCATATTTCTGCAAGAAATGATGAAGAAACGAATTAAGCACTTTCAAGTGTCAATTCAATGCATTAAACCCCATAGGGAAAATGATCGCATAAAAATACCAAAGACAAACCTGCAACACGTCTTCCCATGATGAATGCTCTGCAACCCCAAGAACTTGCCTAGCCTCCACCTCTGTCATAGTTTTGCTTGCTCTTCTAATGTTCTGTACTGCTTCTTGAGCAACACCATTTTTTGATGCATCTACAATTAACCAAGCACAACTTGATTATCAACCCAAGCAAGGTTGCAAGGAGTACACAGGCAAAGCTTCAAGTGCATCAACTAATGGGATATTAACCTATCACATACTATATGTTTTGTTTTGGAATCTAGGGACATTGTTGCTTCAAGAACCATTGTTTTCCAATCTAGGAGAACTGTAACTTGCAGGAATCAAAAGGGTTTTGTGCAACATTACATGGCCAAGATTCACATTTACACTTCTCCTCAGGTAAAATCGTGTTTCCATTTCAAAAGCAAGTGCCATAGAAAACTGCCAAATTTTCTTCTCCCCTCCCCCCAAACAAAGAAAAAAAACACTTCCAGTAGATAAAATGCCAAGTTTGGTTATGGAAGGAGAGGATTACAGGGGCGTACGTCAACGAAAACTTACTTGTGAGAGCTTGGCGATATGCCTGGGCAAAGGCCCTTGCCATTATTCCAGAACCCATAATAATTATGTTTGCAAGGATTCTCGCAGCCTGCAATGAGAAAGTAATGAAAGGGGTTAAGTAACAAGTTCCCTTTGTGTAAAATAGATACTTCTAATATTATAAGTCAACCAAGAACAGAGATGTGTATGAAATGTCTATGGCGGTGTCTAGATTCCAGACTAATTTCTGCGGGCTTCCCATTTCCTTATCCAAAGAAAGACTAAAAGTCGAAGCACCCAAGGGTGTGTGTGCTCTAGTTGTCAATGAAGTGGGTTGAGCACCATGAGGTTTGAGGTTCAATTCCCAGAGACAAAAGTAGGTGATTTCTTCCCATCTGTTTTAGCCTTGATAGACAAAGTTACCTAGTACCTGTTGTTGGTGGGAGGTCGAGGTGCGTGCAAGCTAGCCCAAACACCACGATTATCCAAAAAAAAGAGACTAAAAGTTGAAACCAATGTCACTTTCTGGAAGATTTTGCAGGCTAAAATGGAGCTTGGAAAAGCAGCTGAGGCTATCTTTTAGAATTCCATTTACATGAGATGCTTATAGAACATAGATATGTTAGATGTTTAGTTAAAAATATAAAATTAAAGGCATGCTTATTTATATTTAAAAAGCATGAACCATTCAAATGCATGCATCTTCTATTGAAATATGATAGTAATTTTCTTTTATCAAGAAAATGGTCATAATTGCTTCACCTCAAAAAAATTCTGCCTCAAGTCTACATTCAGCATATTTTTTTCTCTAATCTAGGGTCAATCTCCCTTCTCTTAGAGCCTTGGAGGTGGGGGTGCTGATAGGATGGAAATGAAATTTAATATATGTTACTTACTTCGATGTATATTTTTTCAGTTTCTGTAGGCTCGCAATATACTGATGACATAGAGTGAGTCCATACAACAATAACTACACAAAAACTCCAAACTAGGAGGACTCAGCTATATTCGAGCTATATAAATCCTCTATATCCATTCTGCTCTGCTTATGCTTGTATCATTCCAACACTCAGCCTTTAAGATATATAAGGAATTCTCTAAAACGAGATATTCTCTGCTTCTCACACCTATCCATACAGTGACATACCAATTGCTTACCAAACTAAAAAACAATCCTAACAAACATCTAACTTAATGCAGAGGTACCAACAACCTCTAACCTTAATCCCATTTAGTTGGCATTGCACTATTGCTTAAAAGGATCTTTTACTTTAATTGTGTCCAAAACTACATGAAATTTGAGAAATTATAGATCTTTTGAGACTACACCCTTTAATGTGATTTTAGTCTATCTTGACTGTTTCAAGAACACTTGCAATCAGCAAAGTATCATTCCTATGGACCAGTAAATTCTAAAGTCTTTGAAGGATATGGCCGAATCATATCAGACAGTATTTTCTTATTTATTATTTTATTATTCATGTGTGTTACTTGCATCCTACGTCCGAAGTGATCATTTATAGTTTTGTCTAAATATTGTATGGCCGCACATCCATCTACACATTCATATTTTCTATGACACTCATCTTATCGCTCCCATGTGACATTACTCGTCTCAAAATCCTTCATACTTATCTTTTTACTTTGGTGGGGTATTTCCCATGGCATAGATCATTTCACACTCCTTTTTATCATCTTATATTATTTCTATAAGCTACATTTCTACCCTGGAATACCAAATCTATACATTTGAATTTTCTGCATGTACGCACTACAATCCTATCTACCTAAAGCTCGGGGGAATCCATCCAATGGTAGCGTTTCATTTTCATTCTGTTAAGCAAGGTTGATTATGTCATTTACCTAAATAAATCAACAAACCAGAAAGATGAAAATGAATGAAAATAAAAGGCAAAGAACAATCACACACAATCAGAGTTCCTATTTTGGTATTCAGAACTCAGAAGAACTTATGCATTAGCCAACTCAATCGAGATCTCCTCCTTGATGGAAGATTGACATGAACACGCTGGGAGCCAGAATAACACGTCATTTCATGCCAAAAGAAAATGCTACAAACATTTGGCTGAGTATTATCAGCAAATTTGCTGACAACCTCAAATCATGTCAGCAAACACTCAATTTAAGCACCAAATCAAGAGTCCAGCACCCTCAACCTATTTCAGAACTCAGAAGAACTCATGCATTAGCAAACTCAATCGAGATCTCCTCCTTGAATAAAGATTGACATGAACACTCTGAGCCAGAATAACACGTCATTTCATGCCAAAAGAAAATGCTACAAACATTTGGCTGAGTATTATCAGTAAATTTGCTGACAACTTCAAATCATGTCAGCAAACACTCAATTTAAGCACCAAATCAAGAGTCCAGCACCCTCAACCTTTTTCACCATCGCTATACGTGTTCCAAATCCCCTTACCAGCATGAGCACATTGCGTTCAGGGTAGCAATGTTATTATAGGCAAAAAGCAATGCAACCAATATAATAGTTAAGAGGTTTTTGGCTTAGGCTAACATGTCCACTAGAAACCAGGACTTGTTTACATAAATTGTAAATTAAGGTTGGGATTTCCTAAAGTTAATAGGGAATTTGCTAATACTGACAAAATGTTAGCAAGAGATGATTTTAAATGGCAAATGGTTATCCGTGAGGATTTTATACCTGACTTACTTATAATGGACTAAGGCATACTTGGTGGTGGTGGTGGAGGTAATACTACAAAAATATAGAATGTTAAGGCAAATACAAAACCTCTTTACAAATTAAAGAAACCTACAGCCTCCTTCACCATATATAGGTCTATCTCTTTCCCCTCTTCCATCTCTAACAGTGATTCCTTTTCCCATCCCTCACCTGCATCAATCTCCCTCTCAGTTATTTTCTTACAATCAATTTCAGTATCTTAAGATGTGAAGTGACAAGCTTAGTCATCCAACCATTCCAACATATTTTTGATTTGCCACTAATTATATGTCGAGCACTGAGCTGAGCTTCGATCCGAGTTCTAATGTTTGTCCTCACTGCTTTCTGTTTCAGGAAACATAACTAAAGATTGTGTGAAGTCGCCTGGCACCATAAATGGCCAAGAGTTTTCTATTCCTCCACCACCACCCAAAAAAATAAAATAATATGTAACAACTTCCGCCATATGCATTTTTTGATGTTTCTGTTTTTACAAAATTGCCAGATTCCATCCAAATCGAGAAAGAAAGAAAAACCGAGTCAAGTCAGACAATCAGCTTCAAGATTCCAAAAAAAAAAACTCACTTCAGACAGGAGATTTTAAACAAACTATCAATAAAAGTCAAACAAGTGGTCAGAACATAGATAAGGCAAATTAGACACGATGATCGGAAGAGAGTATTGGAGGGAAGTTTAATATTGTACTTACCATTACGGAAATCAGAAATATAAGTATCCAAACTGTTGTAGCAGCACTCTAACAAAATTTGAATCAAATAACCTACAATAAGACCAAGCATCATTGAATAAATCTTTGCCAAAAAACAAAATATAGTATGCAAACAGGAAAATCTGTTTATATCTGCATTTAAAGAGGTTTAAAGCATGAACATTCATTTACACGCTGCTACTACTTCCATAGTTTCATTGTACATGTACTCTTTGAAAATAATAAAAGAAACTATTTTGTTATTGTCCACTGAAAAAGAAAACTAGAATAGCCTGCTGGATACAGTTCTCACTAGGCAAAATCACATTTTTGCTAAGTATTTTTTTAAAGTCCATACATTTTTGTCCTACCTTTTCTTTTCTTATTATAACATATAAGAAATTTGATGTCAATTGATGAGTTGTATTCACAATAAAACGGATAAAAACAAGCAAAAACAGGCTTTAAACCTAAAAAAACTAACATCCTCAAAAGGCATGAATTTCTCCCATCTGAATTTTTTTGACATTACAACAAGATGTAAATGTTAAAATTAGGTATTAAGCCCACAAAATATGCACAGTCCCTAAAACTAGGTACCAAATATGCAATTTATGTCTTAGTTAATTTTTTAAAAAAACTAATGACACATACAAAAATGAACAAAACAAAAAACTACATTAAAAAAAATAGCAAACCATAATAGAAGTACCTACTTCCTTTTTCAGAATAAAACTAGAACTAGCTACTGGCAGGCTGCTAAATTTCTATCATTCTATGGTTCGCCAAATAATCCTTGAGAAATCCATGGTAGCAACTTCGTTTCCTACCTAAAATATGGGGTTTTTACTAACATACAGCTAAATAAAAGATTTGCAGCATTTAAAAAACATGTAAAAAAAGGAAAATCATTACATAACAGGAATCAGAATGAATCGGTACACCAATTTGCATCGTTTGAAACTCAAACTTGTTGCAGGAAATAAGAAAATTACAGTAACGATAGAAGAAAAACTAAACCTGCGTTCAGGCGACGGTGACTTTTGAGCAGCCGGAGAAGGGTGGAATGCACACGAAGTAAGAAGAAGACTTGCGCTATGGAAGGAGGAAAAATAAAAGCCTTTTTACATAAACTGGTGGCTTGTGAAATAAGCCAGCCTTCAGATTTCGGAGGCGAAGCCGTATGGTAACTATTTGTTCATGAAGCCCAATAGTTCTCAGTACCCAAAAATAAATAAGGCCCATTTCCTTTACGTGCAGCAATTGCATCCGGTAGCCTATTGGACACTCCGTTAGGATGAGTCAACCGGTCAATAAACAACTTCTAGGATTGGTCAACTTATCGCAATTGATTACTCACACATAATTAGGTTAGATATAGTTGGGGAAGTGATCTGAATCACTATTGATATAATAATGTTGGGTTGATTTGGTGACAGTAAGAAACTTGACTCCGACCTTTAAAAAAGAGGATCTTTTTTTACGGACAGAAAAATCTTTGGCCTGGACAATTCAACTTGGGATCCGCTCCATTTTGATCCTTGCCTACTAAATAATTGTACGTTGGAAGAACCCCACGATCCTTTCGCATGGAAGGTGTGAAGCGAAGACAAACACAAATACTTAAAAGTGGTTCATGAGACTCAAAAAAAAGAGAGCCTGGAAGGAGCTTTCCAAGCAACGGCCAACAAATACTTTAAATGTGTTAGCTTATCGGAACCCTTTAATTGCGTGAAAGAAAAATAAAAAATTAAGAAGGAGAAATATAACTTGTGAGATATTTTAGTGCTAAAATATAAATTATGTCCCCCTGAATAAACTTTGGATAAACTACTTTATTAGACATACATCACTACTATATATACTAATATTATCTTTACTTTCAAACAATTACATATATTACCACTTTTAATATTTTATATCATAAATTAATAAATTATTTGAAGATACAATTAGATTATTAGATACCCACATACCTTAAAACTAGGATTGATTAATTATCTGTTTAATTAACTCTTTCACTCCAAATCAACCACTATCTCTTAATTCTCCCCTCCCATATTTATCACTCTATTATGTCTCCTCCTTTATGATTTAGGAATTTCATCGTACAATTTCATTCCAACAATAGCTAATCTACTCTCTTCTTCTCAAGATATCATCACCATGGCCGAGAGACAAATTCTCCTGAACCCAAATATTATTTTGTATTGTTCATTTATAACTAAATCAAATCAAAGTAACTGCTACAGAGAAAACTTTAATTCAAAGTGGGTCTTGATTGTTTGTCTCCGGAAGAAATGGATCTTAGTTTTGATTATGTTATGCCACAACGCAAAAGGATCAAAAGGAGTATTGTAGAGACTTTTTGTTTGCTGGTGTTCTTCTAAGGCTTTCTTTGGTTACCATGACATGGATTTGGTAGTACCAATATTACTTTGATATTGCCCTTGAAACATGTGTATCCAACAAGTAATAATCTTAATTAAGATCTGAGTTGTATTTTTAGTAATGGGGTGTCTGACCATGTATATGTATCCACCATTAAATTTCGGACACATGATTTTTAACAACACAATGATATTAATGATACGACAGATACTCTACAATCGTGATTTGTTCATAAATTCATGTGATTCACCTACATTTCATATTTAGATGTACATAATTAAATGTATATGCTTATTATGTATTCGAGATACATGTTTTTGGATATAACGTATGAAATTTAAATACACATAATTAGATGTATATGCTTCTTCTTTTGTATATTCCATATTTAGATACACATAATTAGATGTATATGCTTACTATGTATTCGAGGTACTTGTTTTTGGATATAACATATGCAATTGATACTTGATACATCAAATTAATACTAGATACATATAAAAGATACATGAAATTAATATTATATATATAAATAGATACATAAAATTAATACTAGATACCTATAACAAATACATGAAATTAATTCTAGATACTTCTATGATACATATGAATGTACTTGCAGGACACTCATGTATCTAAGTGTTTAGTTTGTTGGATACATCATATATTGATATAGATACATCAAATTAATGAATTTATTATTTTAAGAGTAATAATTTGAAATTAATCAAATTGCATTACCAAGATATACATGTTTTTATCTTAAATTAATAATATTAATGAATTTACTATTTCAAAGAATAATAAAATGAAATTAATTATTTATTTATTTTGAAAATCCTCAATTACTCCTCTAATTAAGGAAATCAGTTCCAACCAATTAATTTAAATAAATAAATTTTGTATCTCAATTTTAAAATTCGACAGATACTGCATGTATCTCATGGATTCAGACTCATGTATCCTAAGCATAAAATATGTTACAAGAAGTAATATTTGAAACTATTGAGAATCTTAATAATTAAGACCTAAATTAGTGGGATTTATGTGGTTTGCCCATAAACTTTTGCAGCAGCACAAAACAGGAACAGTACCAAAACACGAAAATAAGCATGGGCCTCTTACAGACCATTTACTATCCGGCCCAATCATGGTCCCCAGGAATGGAGAAGCAACAGCAGTAGTGGCACTCTTGAAATTCTCTTCAATGGAGAAATTACAGAATCAAAATGAACTTGTGCGAATGAACATAGAAGGAAATTGAAACGATGTTCAGGATTGCCGGCAGTCGGAGGAGACTTTATTGCTATTATTCTTCTTCTTCTTCCTTTTTTTCACCGTGGCTTCAGAATCTCAGCGCTACTTTTAGCACAGGGCTACTACACCTCTCATTATCTCCAACAGAATCTCATTATTCACAAGGTTGAATAACTTTCTTATATATTCTTACTAACTTTTTAATAGTCTAATCACTATATACACTAGCAAAATTGGTTCTTTGCGTGTTTTTTGGACTGTTTTGCCTTGAGCTGAGGGTCTATTGAAACCGCCTCTATACCGCTAAGGTAGGGTAAGGATTTCCCTCTGGAGACTCCGCTTATGGTGTTGTATACATCTTAATTTCAAATTAGTTGGGTTTAGGTATATGAATAATGTTATGAACACAAATAGTCTATATGAATAATTCAGAGTCATCTTTCTGCCCTTTTTACTACTAATGTGACGAACTTGGTTGAAAAATCTGAACAGAAAAAAAATATCTTTTGTTTCCTTCCTTTTGATAACTGGCAATTTCTGTTGTAAATCAAAACTTTATGCTTAAAGGTTACTTTTTTATTTCATGATATCTTGCAGATTATCACAGACTATTATGCATTCTTGAAGCATGTAAGGTGTCACCAAATTTGAGAACTATAGCTGGCGCACATACTAATATTATTAAACTTGGTTATGGAATGTATCCTTCTCTTATTTCTTTGATGGTAGTGACATATGCGTCTTGCGATAGACTCAATCTTGCTCGGCAGCTGCTTGTTGAAATTCCTACTGAGTATTTTGATGCTGTCTCTGCTAATTTAATGATTGCTAGATTTATGAAGATGGGGGCAGTTGATGTTGCCAAGATGATATTTAACGAAGTTCCCCTCCGGGATTTGGTTACTTGGAATTCACTGATTGGTGGTTATGTCAAAAATGACATGTGTAAGGAGGCACTCAGTGTCTTCAGAAAGATGTTGAGGTCTAATGTTGAACCAGATGGATATACTTTTGCATCTATCATTACCGCATGTGCTAAACTTGGAGCCATTGATCACGCTAAGTGGGTGCTTCACTTAATGACTGAGAGAAGGATTGAACTAAATTACATTCTTTCTTCTGCTTTGATTGATATGTACTCAAAATGTGGAAGAATTGAGATAGCTAGAGGAATATTTGATAGTGTTGAGCGTACAAATGTCTCTGTCTGGAATGCTATGATTAATGGATTAGGAATCCATGGTCTTGCTTTAGATGCAATTGAGATTTTCTCACTGATGGAGCCAGAAAATGTTTCACCTGATAGTATTACTTTCATTGGACTTCTAACAGCATGTAGTCACTGTGGCTTGGTTGAAGAGGGTCAAAAGTATTTTCAACTAATGAAAAGTCTGTATTTGATTCAACCACAACTTGAGCATTATGGAACAATGGTTGATCTACTAGGCAGAGCTGGACTGCTTGATGAAGCTTATACTGTAATCAAGGAAATGCCAATAGAGCCTGATGCAGTCATATGGAGGACATTTCTCAGTGCTTGTAGAATTCACAAAAATTCTGAGATGGGTGAAGTTGCTAGCACAAAAATATCTCATCTTGGTAGTGGTGATTATGTCTTGCTGTCAAACATTTATTGTTCTACTAAGAAATGGGATAATGCAGAGAAAGTTAGATGTCTGATGAAATGGAAAGGAGTTCGTAAAAATAGTGGGAAAAGTTGGGTTGAAGTGGGTAATGTCGTTCACCAGTTCAAGGCAGGTGACCGGTCACACCCTGAAGCTGAACTAATAAATAGAACTTTGAAGGAATTATTTCATCGAACCAAATTGGAAGGATTTAGTTCAACGACTGAGTTGGTTTTGATGGATATTTCTGATGAGGAAAAGGAGGAAAACTTGAGTTACCACAGTGAAAAATTGGCATTAGCCTATGGGATCTTAAAATCTAGTCCTGGAACTCGTATTCAAGTTTCGAAAAATCTTCGTACTTGTCCAGATTGCCATTCTTGGATGAAAATGGTAGCAAAGGTGTTAAATAGGGAGATCATTGTGAGGGACAGGATCCGCTTTCATCACTTTGCAGATGGTTATTGTAGTTGTGGGGATTACTGGTAGCATTTCTTTGAAGTTCCAATTGAGTTTGGTAATTGAAGCTTAAGTAGATATCTTATGGTGGACTTCATAAAAATGAAAGACATCTTACAGTGGATGTCTCAAAGATTCTTGTGGCTCTTATCTTGCCTGTTTCTAGCATCGTATCTGCTGTCTGCACTCTTTGTACAAGCACAGCACAACGATGACCTCCTTGAGTAGTAGTTCAGTAAAGTGCATCTGGTTACAATCAGTGTCAAATGGTTTATTTCCATATGCTGCAGCTCCAAGCTTTGAGATAAGATATCACTGAATATTACATCCAGGCGAGTTCTTAAGTTTATTTACTGGTCTTTGAGGTATGAAACTCTCTTTCCTGAATATCCTGTTGTTGTATAATTGTTTGAATCTTTTATGAGTAACTTTTTCTTAAGTGTTTTGAGTCTCTCTCCTTGTATGGAAACTGGATTAGATTGGCTACTTGGACAAACTAATGCGAAAAAAAGTACAGATTTCCTCAAGAAAACAGCAGACTTGAGTTGGTCACCGAAAAAAAAAAAAGCAATGGCCTCAAGTGACCAGTAGTTCATATAATTTACGTAGTAGCAGAAGCTTCATTGCAGGTAGTGCAGTAGTTTTGACCGTATGAGTTACTTGGACAAGGTAGGATAGTGGCTTTTGTTGCTCCAGAGAAAACATTCAGTAGTTATATGAAAAAGATTACTTCTTAGAGAAAGGACACATTCAAGTAACTGTTGAATTGAATTTGCACCTAGAGTTTTTGACGTGTCGAGTAGTTACAACATTTTGGATTGTGAAGTAAACTCTTTCTGCAGTGGTGTCTCAATCTTCTTAAGCTTCACTTTAGTTGGAATTTAGCCATATAAATACATACACACACACATATCAGTTGATTCATGCTTATTGTATGTGGGAAGTAGAATTTTATTGTTCTTTCATTAGAGATATTGTTTCCAGAATGCAAGTTGACATTCAAATGATGCAGCAATTTCATTGTAGGCCTCTCCAATAAAAGGTGGTTCTGCATTGCTGGATTTGGACATGTTAAAACCAACTCATCTACCAAATTTCATTATATAATAGTGTATCTGTATCTTGCTTCAAAAGAAAAGCAAAGGAAACAGTGATGCGTTTAAGAGCTACAAAATATAAAACGGATTTGATTGAAATCTGTATTACTCTTTTTCACTTGTTGCAGAATCAAGATTGAACGTCATCCAGTTTTTCATATCAAAATGATAGATAGAGATGGAAGCTGGATTCATCAAGAACACCATCAAACTAGCAGATCAGGTGGAAAATATGTCATTTATTTTCTACTCCATGTAAAAGCTGAATGTTTAGTAATGGATATAGATGTATATTTGCTATTTAATGTTTTTCCTGAAAGCTATTAGAAAGAAAGCACTGTCAACTTGATCAAGTTGAAGCTTTTAGTGCAATTACTTGCCTAGGCGTCCTGTATAGGAACTAATTGCATTTTGCCTCCGTAAGTCTCCGGAAGCTGGCTTTCATCAATATCTTGAAGTAAGGTTGCTGTCAGTCGTTTGTTTTCCACAAACATGATCTGTGAAGATGGAAAATAGTTTGGTGAGGATGATGTAATACAAGTTGTAATCAAGTCTCTCACAAAGTTATCCTCGACATCAACTGCAAGTATGACTTAACTCTAGAACTGATTCATCCACCTTTTATGTGAAACACAATTATTTTAGAACCTCACCTTTTTCTTGGTGTGGTTGTCTATGAAAGGATACAAAATCTTCCATAATGTGCAAAATATGTAAGGAACATGAACAAGAAGTACTTTGCCAAGTCTTTCCGGGTAGCAATCCTGCAAAATAGATGTCTCTTAGATGATGGACAAAAACAGGGTAAGCCTCTATCTGAATAACTAGACAGTATTGGTGACTAAACCTGCACGATGGATAGGGCCGCAAGATAGGCACGGACGTCACTGTTACAATAGCCAAAATTTTGGAGATCTCCGATTATTGTGAACTTCTCTCTTCCTGGTGAGGTCCTGATTCATAAATAAAATCCCATAAGTTGCCGTCCAAATGATGAGCTGTTTTTATCCTCTATATTTATTCTGCCCTTTTTAGTTACATTTCAGTACTCAATGATTTGTTGTTTTTAAAATTAAAAACAGGTCTTCCGTCCATGGTGGAGCTTGTTGCTGATGTTTTCCGCTGATTTTGGAAAAGTAAAAAAGGAGAGGAATAAAGCTGCTACTATTATTCTAAATGTTGTACCTTGCACACAGTTTGTCCAGAGCAAAGACTATAAAACCTGAGGCATCAAAGAAAGACTTGGATGTGAGAAATTGACTGGTTCAAAAGCCAGTTTCACTGACCATGAAGCAGTAGGCCATGTGAAATTAGGTGGGGAAAAGTAAAAAAGGAAGTCATACGTTTGAACTCTTCAACACCTCCTAATTTGTTTTGAATATGCCTGCCACCAAAAACTACAGCAATAGGACATCCCTGTTTATCTTCACCTTGCATGAACATCTTGTTCTGTGCAATCTCGTTTGGTATCTCACTCACTGAAATGGACCCTTTTGGTACAAAGCTTTGCCTCCATTTAAGATATTTCAAGAACATTGCTGCAGATTTCTCTATGTCCAGATCGCGAGCTCGAAGAAACCTTCTCAAGGCATAGTCATCTACTTCCTGCAAACAAGGTACATGGAAATCATTCTACTTTTGTTTAAAAACTATTGATTTTTATAGTTAGAAAGGGAGAGAAATGCTGCAATGCTGCAGAAAATTGTATAATACCTTGGAAGAAGGATCTTGCTTTTCAACAAGAGCCCTCATTAGTTCAATTTTGTTCATCTCTTGATCTGTAATTGTGTCGTCGCATCGCATATGAATTCCTTCTTTTTCTGTTGCTACTGCTTCCTGCTTCATTCTTTGTTTAGAAAGAAGTTCATCATCATTTGGCTTCATTGCGTCGTCACATTGCATTTGAATTTCTTGTTTTTCTGTTGCTGCTGCTTCTTGCCTCATTATTTGTTTAGAAAGTAGTTCATCATTATTTGGCTTCATTGTTACTGCCTCTGCTTTCCCCTCCATCAGAGTCTTCCTTGCACCTATAACTAGTGAGATAAATAGCAATGGAAAGCAGAAGCTTCTACCCCACTTTCAAGATAACTAATTTTCCTCTTGTTTGTGGAAATTTCAGCCTAGTTGAAGAAGGAAAATATATAAGGGGAAGATGGGGGAAGTTAGAAAAATCAAATCTTTGAAAGAAATAAGTAAAGCCAATTGACCATGATAGGTGTATTTGACCGACTGATGAGTTGAAATCTAGATATAAACTAACTTGAAAAAAGTGGTGAGAAAAAGAAAGACTTGCACCCTAGGAGGGTGGTCGTGCCGTCAATGCAATGAGTGAAAATCATGATGAAAAATATTTTATTTATAAACTCAAATAATTTTTCACTATATTCCTCACTAGAAAAGAGCTAGGAACACCTCTATTATTAATAGTGCAGAGCATAATTTAACTAGAACTAGAAAATCTGTTCCTATATTATTTAGACTAAGCATCTGTGCTTGATCATTGGTAGTAACTAAACTAGGATAGCGATTATAATTCCGGTATTATAATCTCAGGATATCCTTGGTCCTAACCAAACAACCATTTAAGGTGATGGCTTCTCATTGACTTAGCTTTGCAAGTTGGAAATAGCAGGTAATTGATGACATATTTGATATGCGCGCAAATTAGACAAAAACAAAGGCCAATTTAACCAAAAAGAAAGTGAGGTATGTACATCAAACACGATACCGACGTATAAAATCACAAGTACAGTGTTCACTTCTTCAAATAATAATAATACATAAGTGAAGTGTTGCGTAGGGGACTTGATTGTTTTACCATATTTGGTAACAGACTTTGGGGGTTCACCCACTTGCTTCCTCATTAATTTGATAGATGACTAAGAGCTACTTCTTGGACACCTAAGCATTTATTGTATCCAATCAGCACCACTACTTTATTTTTTGGATTACCAGATATATTTGTTCGGTGTTTGATATCTTTTTCTCTACATAGGGCTCGTTCGGCGAAGCGTTTTTCAGATACCGGGCTCAAAATTAAAATCTTTGATTAATGAAGGAATAACTTTATTCACTACATCATATTTTTTATGGTCTATTTGTATATTATCTATTTTGGCATAACCCATCGGTGACCTCCTAAAGTTGGCACTAATTTTCACTTTGACACCTTAACTAAGCTTTGTTCATTTTAGACACTTCATGTCATACTGCATTGTGTCATTTTAACACTTTTTAGTGACATGACAATTATGAGAAAATGTGGTGCAAATAACCAACTCAATCGAGACTAGTTCTTGTACTCATCTTATAACAACTGGATAATTATTATTACAAAAATGCTGCATTTATAGCATTGATAAAAGACCTTTCATTCATATTGCAACAGGTCTAGGCCCCTAAGTAGCCTCCTCTTCTTTAATTTCCCACCTGCTTTATAGCCACATCATTTTCCATAATTAAGATACTTTAGTTGATATTAAAGCTACATTGGCTGACGAGGGTTATGATGGAGTGATAAGTATCCATTCATCCTTAATCAGAGGTCTCGAATTTGAGTCCCCTAGGTACGAAATTGTCTTTATTAGGGAGCGTTTTAACCCTCAATATGACACTTCATGGCGTGATTTAGATTTAGTTGGACTCTAATATGGTATTGAAATGAAAAAAAAAACTAAAAAAAACTATAGGAGTTACTTACCTTTTCTTGGTCTTCTAGTTTTTTTTGTTCTTTTTCATGCATTTTTCTTCCCGTAAGATTTATTATACAAATATAAGAAAATTGAATATATTTATCATACTAATACATGAAATATGTTGAATAATTTATAGGCACAATACATAAATATGTCATTTAACTTGGTCTAATTTCAAATTTATGCCCTTCAACTTTGGATGTGCACGAATAAACACTTAAACTTGTATAAAATTAAACAAATAAACACATCCTATGTGGCATCCTACATGACAATTTGTGTTCTACATGTATTAAAGGCATATAATGTATGGTACTCTAGTTTTTTTGGTGGAGCTGACCAGAAGACAAACCAATTAATGCTTGGCATAAAAGAATGGACATCGATTTTGACAATATTTTCCAACTCAATTATTCATAGTTTCTCTTCTATTTTATTATTTCTATGTTGTGGATGAGAGGATCCACTACTACTTCAAGAAGCTGTAGTTGATGCAAATGATGTGACATGATTGATGATACTCATCATTTAAACAAGTAGAAGACAGCATCAGACTTCTTGACACAAATGTATAACTACACCAGTAAAATAATTAGTCTAAAGAAAAGTACACAACAGAGAGTCCAACATTGTCACAATCCAAAATTCCACACGACAAAACTCAGTTCATGATCAAGAAAGTAGTGTTGGTCTCACATCAAGCTTCGTGCCATCTTTTAATCGAACAGATCATTTGATGAAAAACAGATTCAAGTGCTAATTTAAGCCCAGCTGAGAGTGTACGCTCATGAATTACAAACAGTTGTTCTCTCAGAAGAAGATTATTGAAACACCCATCGTCAAGCAGCCCACTGCCACCCAAGGACTCAACCGTTCACCTGTCCACATTGAAGCATCATAGGCCTTGTCAAATTCATGCATTGGTAGAATAAATGGATAAAAGATAAAATTTATTATGGTAGGACGGAAAAGGACATTCACTATATTCTAATGCAAGTAATGTGTTTTAGGATACATGTAATTACAAATTTTAGGTAAAGGAGAATTTTTGGGAAGAGCAATTTTTTTCCTCCACTTTGTTGACTTTGGAACAAGTGAAAAATGTTCAAAGAATAAAAGCTCTCTAAACAAAAAGAAAACCCCCCAACCAGCAGAAGATAAACAAGTTAAGAGTAAAAGGATGAAGAACCACCATGAAGATAAATAGGCATATATGTGACGTTTTTTTGATTGGTTAAATAGGCATCTAAGCAATATGAATCACACAAGCAGAAAACAGGGAAGGGAAAAGATCATTATATTCCAAAATATTATGAACTGGTCAAGCAAGAGAGAATTACAAGAATAACTTCCTATCAAGATGAGGTCTTATGAGAGAATTACAATGCATAGCCAGGAAAATGTTATTCGTTTTAGTCAAAGTATGATGCCTAACTATCAACTGTATGTCCTCATATCGGCAGTGATTCAGCATTTCATCAACATCTTGTTATATGGTGTGGTTTCACTAGGATACAGGCCAGTAATGGTATAAGAAAAATGCATGCAATGTTTTTAACAATCAGCAAAATAATTTTGATTCTGTAAAAACGATGAGGAAATTAGTCCAGACAATTCTTCGCTGCAAGCAAATGAGATAACTTACCTATTCTAGCAGCCTTCCAAAAGAAACCTCGAAACCTGCCAAGTTTACCATCTAGTTAGGATGTAGAGCAGACAGGGAAATTAATTAATAAATAAATAAAATGAAATAAGACATAAAATAAAGTAACAAGCCACAACAATAGGGGGAGATAAAAAATATTACAGAACTTTCTTAGCTTCAAAAAACGTGAAAATTCAAGCAAAATAGTCGATGCCTAGATGCCCTCAACTTAAAATGGCATGTTGAAACCCCATTAAAAGCCAACGAAAAAATTAGATCCAATTAAAAGTGCCCTTGTTATCTTTTCTCCTCCAAAACTAGCATTATGTTCAACCACAGTGAGAACATTTCAGATAAGAGTTTCCCATCTTTTGACCTAGCAAAGCCATTTTCAAATGAAAAACCATCTACACATATAGGTGTAACAACTAATTTCCCCAGAGAAATAGAAGTACATCTGATACCCTTAAATCCTCATAGCCTCTAAGTACTATATGATGCATAAAACGGGTTATATGGCTTGTCACAGTGGATATGTAGCTCAGGAGTAGGATAATTGCATGAAGAAAATCATCAGTCTTGAGTCGCTAGTACATAGACCATACTAGAAACTTCATTTTATGGTGTTAAACTTTCTGAAAGACGGAATATGGAAAAGGATAAGAATTTTGATATCACAGAGCATGTACCTCTCTCCTGAACCCCACTTCTTCTAAGATATTTCTTCCAATCCTAACTTGTCTCTCTACCCCCACAGCCCTGTTTTTTCGTTGCAAAAAAGAATGAGGGAGGGCATTAAAGGAGGAAGGGAGAAGGGGGAGTCCCAGAGGGAGGGGTGTGGAGAGGACTAATGTGTCTTTATGAGAACGGAGCCCATCCAACGACAGAATGTACCATCTTGTAGGTTTACATAGTACCCAGTAACAGTAGAACAGGCCTACTTGCTGCCTAAATGTGATCATACATGAAATTCCAACCATGACAAAATAATAAAAACATGGGGTAGAAGTAGCATAAATCCAGAAAATGCACTACAAAAAGATATTCTCCAACAGCATCCACACAAAAAAGGAAATAAAAAACCAATCTTAAGCCTTTACTAACCAGTTAGAGGAAACAAAGGACCTCCTATATGAATTATTAAGAATCAACATAGGTAACATTGACACCAATGCCAAATTCCTATACTGTAGCTACAACGAACTTACTTATAGAGAAGACTTACCCAGTTCTCTGTTCAAGAAGTGCAGGAAAATGCATCTTCACATAAGTGCATGTACAAATCCCTAACAGCACTACTGTCAAAAAGGAGTGGAAATTGAAGAGTGCCGACTGAAAATACCAGCAGAAGAAAATGAGCATAGTACTTGTAAATTCAACAACAAAAATAACAATAATTATAGTCTAACTTGCCATTTCTGAATTTCCTCTCTAAATCAGTTTTGCCTTCCACCAAGCCTATACACAGTAAAGAAGCATCTGTCAACTCCTCTCATACTAGCGGAATGTCAAAACATTAATTGCAACAAAAAGTTTTGTTGTTCCTGCTCTTTGTTTTTTGACCAAATGATGAAATGGAATAAGGAAATAATGGATGACCATGAGCACCTTACAACCAGATCAAAATGAAAAGGATACTCCACCACTAAGTTGACACTAGATTCATTAAGTAAATAAAACCCTACAAAATAAAATAAAAAAATTGTAGAAGCATAAGCCATTAAGGTTTCATGAGCAATGCTTTTGAAATAAGAAAAATTTGAGTCTCTATAGTAGCTTTCTGCACTGAGCAAGAACAGTGCTCTTATTTTCTTCTCACGTGTCATCTTCTGAATTATTCAATCTTCTCTATAATCTTACAGTATGCATTACCCAAGGTTGTAACTCTTATCTATCTACTCAATGACCTTAGAGAAACATTTAGACCCCCGAAATGAAAAGCATATAATAGCAATAAGAGACTTTAGCATAAAACATATAGCTGCCAGGAAATTAAATCTCCATTCAAACTCAAACAGGAATAATTTGTAGTCATATTTTAAGTTGCAACTGTATTTATATTGCCCCTTCCAGTCAAACAGTAATGACAGGTTTAACTCTTGTCATTTATCAGGAAAAGAAACATTCCCAACTCCGTGATGTGTGATGCTGAAGAACCAAGGTTTGTTGTTGTCTAGAGTTTTCTCTCCCCTTCATTTTTTTTTGGGAGAGAAGACTCTACGGTTTACTATTGCATTTACCACTGAAGCTTCGTTCTTCAATGTTAATGATCCTAGCCAGCTGCTACTACACAGCATATTTCAAGCAGACTTTCTGCAATAGCCTGCCTGTTTAATACCTCAACTTTGGCCTCTGGGTTACAGATAACCCAGATTAACCAGTGTAAGACTTAAGACATCATTTACTATTCCAATCTCTAAGATGCCCCAATGCCTGTTTTCTGCAACATCTTTCATTGCAATGCTCTACAATTTTCTAAAGTACCACAGTCTACATGTTCAATAGCGTATACCACCATAGGGCTGGCATGTAATGGGAAAAACTGAGCTTGGACACTAGGACTGTCTTGGTTCTATAATGGAGTCAGATACTCAGCTATGGTTATGCAAAATTTACAGCATGTAAGCTCCTTTGACCACACAATACTTAAATTTCCAAGTTCCGATTGATGCCTCATTGCCGAAATTTCATTAAACTCGAATGATATAAAATCTTCTTATCATATTCTTGCAAGAAAAAGCTTCCAAAATCCACATTTGTGCTTTGATAATTAACTTCCAATACCACATTGTTTCATAACTTAAAACATATAAGAGGACATATAACTTGATATCATACAACTGTTAACATTAAGCAGCTAAAAGCAACAAGAAAATGGATCATGAACAAAGTCTATCAGAGCCCAACATGAAGCACAATTACCAAAAGTTCTGAAAACTTATATAAACCAAACGAACTGAATAAGTACCAACATTAATTGCGTAATTCATTTCCTAGGTACTTTCGAAAGCAAACAGCAAGCTAACTAGAATCCTACTCTAAGTATAAGTTTTCATACTCGGGTTGGTAATTTTGCATGTTTTTTCTGGGTGTAGGGGTTAAAAGAAACTGAAGAAAAGGTTCAAACCCTAACCCACCAAATTAAACCCGCAGACCAAATTCAACCAAATTTAGTGTTCAGACCAGAATTCCTCCTTCACTTCATTTTCCCTCAATAAACCAAAATTTCTCCTTATCAAGAACCTACCCAAAAGGATTTTTTTATTGTAAAAACCCGAACTTTACATCCATTACGAAGTGGCAGTCGTTGTATATAAGGCAATTTAAAATCTGCAATAACAAAAACAATGAAAAGGGTATAAAAAAAAACGGCGGAAGGGGTTGTGGGTTACCTTAAATCAAGAGCCCAAGAGCGAAATTGCAGTGAATATATGAAAAATGAGGATTTTAGAACAGTATCTGATCTCCAGATCCAATCCGTTTGTCTCCGATCTCGGAGAATACAGCAATTCGAGAGTCAGTTCAAGCTAAGTCACCTCTCGATAACCAAAGAAGCTTGATTGAGAATCTATGAGTCGGAAGGATGAAGAAGATTAAGCAATGGAAACCGTTTGTGTTATATTTGGGAAACAAGGGGAAAAAAAAGAAAACAAAGTTTGACATTGTTTGAAATATGTGAAAAAAACAAATTAAATTATTATTGAATTTTTATAAAATTAGGTATAAGAAGTTTGTAATTGCAAATATTTATTTATAAAAATAACATGGAGATATGTGATTTTTTGATGTGGCGCCTTAGGATAATATGATATCTTGTTTATGAACTATATTTACCTCTTTGTCAATTGTACCAAAGGGTAGCTCAATGGTTTGGGCTTGGGACTTCCATGTTGGAGGTCTCAAGTTCGAAACCCCTTGCCAGCAAAAGCAAAGGGTTTTGCCTTTTGGGTCGAGCTCGTCGCACAAGGCTTGCCTAGTAGTGCATTTGGTACAATTGAACTTATAAATTTTTTTATGTTTATAAGAAAAAATCTGAATATAAATAAATCTAACTTAAAAAATCAAAATTGCATGTTCAAACAAAACTTCAACTTCAAATTAGTTTGATTCTAAATCATGATTCATATCGCATGTCCAAATGGATCCTAAGAAAGCCGCATTAGATTTTTCTCGATTAGAATATGTACTTTATGTAGGGATGGCAATGGGACGGTGCGGTGCGTGGCAGGCAGGTTGAGTTTACCCCTCAAAATTTTAAACCGCCACGCCGCGTATAACAATTTTTTTCATTTTCAATCCGTCCCATCCTGCTTCACATAGACCCGTCTCACATAATTTTATTAGTATTTTTTTTCTAGTTAAGTTTGATACTAAAAATAAAGAGATAAGTGGTTAAAACACACCTAAACTATACCTTCTTTTTTTTTAGTTCCATACCCAAACTATTGAAAGTGTGAGAAACACACCTAAAGTATTACACTTTAGTTTTAAAAACACACCTCTGTGCTGACTGGACCAAATGTGTGTGTACACACTCTTTTGCGCGTGTGTGGCCTTGATTTTCGTCCACATGGCTTCTTCTTTTTCAAAAAATAAAATATCAAAACACACCTAAACTATAAAATAGTTTGACTACTTTCCCACCTAAACTATTAGGAGAGTGAGAAACACACCTAAACTATCATTCATAAATTTGAGAAACACACCTTAAATTATATGTTACACTAGTTGCTTAAGCTCACTCAAAAGGGACTGATATTTGAATATCAATGATGCCATACAAGGAATCCACGACGCCCTTTGGTAGCTTTAATAATTTGAGGGGTGAGTAATTGTCCATGACATCAGATTCTATTTTTTTTTTTTTTTTGTTTAATAACTAGTTAGACTATATTTGTGGTATCATTATGCCACCAAATAGAGCATATTTTATTTCTATTGAATTGTCGCTTTTTATAGACTACTTCATTAATCATTTTCTGATTACGATTATTTAAACAACTATGAGTTGCTAAGGACAGAAGTCACCAAAGCATTTTTAGTAGCTCGAAGTAAAAAATTGATCGGCTCTAGTTTGTATAGTATAGAAACACTGAAATCAAGTAATGCTTCAATTTGCTGAGCAACTTACAACGATATTAAATTACTTGGGCTGCAAATCAGTATACCATCCTATTCACAACCAAAATTCGATATCATCCTATTCACAATCAAAATACACGACTTAAGAACAATTCGAACCACATGAAAAATCAGTCACGATGTTTAGTAGCTTACAATAACTACTTGGGCTGCAAATCAGTCACCGTATTTAGGAACATCAAAGTTCACAACTAAAAGTCGATATCGTCCTATTCACAACCAAAATACGTGACTTAAAAATAGTTCGAGCCACATGAAAAATCAGCCACATCATCCCTAAACACCTTCAGTTCTTGCTGCACCTTGTGATGGAATTTGTGACTTGATGTTCTTCTGTCTAAGCAAAGAACTTTTATATTGAAGTTGTCTTCCTGTGATAGCATTTTTCCCCTTCCATTTAAGACCTTTACTTGGTGCATACCCAAGGTCACCGGTGACAATAGCTGAACTTATCAGTTTCTCTTGTGCTCCACTCTTGATTACCCTACTAATAGATCTTCCTTGTTGTAAAGTAATAAATAGTCGTTAAATTATTTTTAAGAAGTTTAATCAAGAATATAAGCTTATTAACTCTTGTTTTTACCTCGGCACAAATAAAATCATCTTTGCTCACAAATACTCCATGACCCACTACTTTTGGCCTCTTAAATGCATTATTTGCACCTTTTCTATTACCAATGTCACTTTGCACTATTGCTTGAGATGGTTCAGAAGATTGAGATTGTTGTACTGCTTGAGTGGGGTGAGATTTTTGCTTGCCACTTCTTTTACTACTGGCAGATGCTTGTGATGTAGTAATAACCTATGCAAAGAATAATTTTGAAAGTGTTAACGGTATTAATACACTATAAATAAACGTTAATAGAGCTCAAATGTACATCTGAAGTGGCTGGAGGTTTGTTTGGACATGTTCTTATATTGTGACCTTTTGACTTACAAGCGGAGCAACTCACAGTTTTTCTCCTCTTTGGAAGCTTTTCAGAACTTGTACCTCTCTAAGTTCCTTCTTTCTTTTTTTACCAGGCCTTCCTAGCATTTTCCTAACAGGAGGTGGCTTAACTTTTGAATTCGATGTCTCGGGCCACATCTTCATGTTTGTTATTGGTTGTAAAAAATGTTTATAAGCTTTTAGGTAGGTTTCTTTTTTGTACCACTTACAAACCGAGTCAAGGAGATTAGCTTCATCGTGATGTATAGCTGATATTGCATGTGCACAAGGAATCCCTTTCAATCCC